AGCAGCCAAGAGCCGGGCTCGAGGGAGGTGTCTGGCCAGAGCCCACCGGTGCTCAGCCAGGGACACCACGGGACACAGCGGGCAGCGAGCACGTTCTGCTGTTAATGACAAAAGGTCTATTTTTGGTGACGAGTCAACATTCGCAGTAGGTGGCCAGCTCTGGGCGGACCAGCCTCTGCCAGAGGGTGCTTCCCTGAGGTCAGGAGAGCACTGAAAATGAGGAGGAAGAGAAGGTCACCTCTTCCTCCCAGGGAAAAGGCAGTCTGGGTGACTGGTCCCACCCAGTTGGACTTCCAGGAACGACAAGCCAGCAAGGCACAACATCTGCTATGCTGTCACGGTTACAGCGGGTATGAGCCCACACGGGACGCTGGGCACTCCAGGCATGAGCACTGCAGCTGCTCACCCTAAACTGGCCCCTTCTTCACCTGCCTGGAGGCAAGGCAGCCCTCTGCCCATCCTGTCCAAGGACATCCTCACTTTCAGCACCCTGCCTGGCCCGGCCTGCCCATCGGTGAGATGCAGATCTCCACAGGAACCAACTCAGGAGCCACAGATCAGTCCATGGAAGGCCCCACCAGCACCCCAGCTGCTCTGGCTGACCCAGGTCTGACAGGGCACTCATGGGTATCATCTAGACACTCACGTGAACTCAATACCATCCCTTGTGAGGGCCGCACCACAGGCTGTAGCTCCCCACAGCATCCTGCTCTGTGCAAGGAGCTCCCCTCGGCTCGCACACCAGCTGAAGGCACTTGCACCCTGTGCTGGATCCGTAGTCAGTCCACAGGCGAGTACAGAACCCTCGGCAGAGCAGGGAAAGAAGACTTCCACATCCCGTGGCGTGCTCCAGTCCAGACTGGGCACCAGCTGAGCCACCGGGTAGAGGTCTCAGTGTGCCTTGAGCATAGCAGGCCAAGAGCTGTCTCCACCAGCTGAACCCTGAAACCTATCCCAGTCATCAACACCAAGATGGGTTTCCTTGGCCACCAGATGCCATTCACCCACACTGGCAGAGAAAGTGTCCCCCTCCGAGAGACCCAACTGTGAAAGGAGAAATAGTTGGCTTTCAAAACCCTGGGTGGCCACCAGAGACAAGTTCTGCAGCCCCAGTGCCTGTTCCAACCGCAGGGTGAGGGCAGAGATGCAACAGATGCAGGAGGAGGAGAAAAGAGACTGGACCAGAAAGAGGAGGCAGCTTCATCCCGCATGGACAGCCTGACTTTCCAGGGTCGTGTAGCAGCCACTCCTTCTCAGCTTTGCCTGGTGCTGCCAGGGAAAGCATTCCCTGTGCCAGGCATGGCAGGAGTCACCACAAATATCCTTATCAGTATTGCCAGGCCTCAGCAGTACAAGCTTTCAGTAGCCCATGCTTGGGCAAACAGAGGCAAGGCACAGTGCCCAAGCAGAGAGTCTGCAGGGCAACCACAGGCATGTCTGCATCATGTCCCCGGAGCAGGGCAGCACCAAGCATGGGCACTGAGCCCTTCCAACAGCATCAGCTGCCCCACTCTAACCCAGAGACACAAGGGGAAGAAGCAGCAGCACCAGGGTTCTCAACTCCAGACAAGGACCTTGACACAAGGACTAGGACACAGACTGGTGGCAGGGGGTTTGGCCCCAGCACACCAGGCACTGCCTATGGCTCCCATTCCTCACCTGCTCCAAACGTGACATTTTTTGCAGACAAAAGTGTCCAAGAACATCTAGTCAAATGCTGTCTCTGCCCAGCTAATCCCAGGGTAAAAGTCCTCCTCACCACTCTCCTTCCAAAACCAGGAAGAAAATGTCTTGGGACTCTGCCTAGGCTCCCAGCCCTCGCAAGCACCATCCTGCAAGGAACAAAACAGGGTTCCTGAAACAGGACCAGTCACTCCCAGAGCAGAAGCCCTGGGTGAGAGCTGTGAGCCCAAGCACTGTGCCTCGTGCCAGCCCCCAGCACACGCGCCCAAGTGCACACACGCAGCTGCTGGCCACTCTGCCATCCCTCCCGCCATGACATTCCTCCACGGTCACACTAGCTACCGCAGAATTACTGGGGAGCCAGGCTGTCTGCCATGGACAAATGTCCACATGCAAATATTTGGAGAACCTAGTGCCACCTAGCATCAGCAGCCAGGCTCCTGACCCCACAGCAAGTTCTGATGCACTTTTGTTCCTTCCATGTCCTGGACTGTGCCTGCCAGCGTGCTTAGCTCTGGCTGACAGCCACCAGGCAGTGCGCTTTCTGCTCACCTCTCAGTCTGAAGAGCATCATGGAGTAACTGTTTCATCAGACAGGAGCCCTTGGCACTCATCACCTGAGGCTTCAGTAAGAACTCTCAGGGGATGAAAGGACTACAGGGAAGCTCAGAAGCACGAGAGCACTAGAAACAAGAGGAGGAGTATGGATGAGGACAGAGCAAGCTGAAGAGACCATCTGCTTTCAACCACAGAGCTGCAAATCCAGAAGGAGTCTTGGCTGCACTTCCTGCAGCCAGGGGATCTGCCAAAGACTCCCTCACCTCGGGGTCATGAACAGTGGCCTCTGCCCCATAACCAGATCCATTATCCTGTGAATAATTTGTTCAGCAGAAGCTATCCGAAGACAGCAAGCTTTGCTCACCCAATGCCTTCCTGTTAGGCTTATCCAAGAAACCATCTGCTTTCAGGTTCTTTTCCCCATAGAGCAGATCTAGGAGACCTTGTGAACCCCAGTGTTCATTTACAGAGGATAAGCTGTAAGTGCCTGAAATACAGTCAGGGAGCATCCTGAGCCAGGAATCCAAGTACTGACCATGAGAGCTTGCTGGCCCCACGGGGCACACCTTACCGTGTGAGGGTTGTCGTAGTAGACACCGATGGAGCAGAGCTTGGAAGAGATGCTGCAGCCGTCTGTGAAGAGTTGCCCGGATTCGCCATAGGGGCCTACCCTGAACTTGTAGGCCAGCGTGATGCTGCCGACCGGCGGGGAGCCAGCACTCACAACGACCTCCGTGAAGAGCCCCGAGTAGACGACAAAACCGAAGACGGTCAGCAGGAGCAGCGTCACCAGTGCCGCGATGAGCCCGAGGAGGACCCAGTCAGACATGATGGAGACTTGGTGCTCCATGCTTCCTGACAGACCAGCAGCAAAAGGAGAGAAGAAAACGGAGAGGGGTTAGGCAGGTACTCACTAAAGCTATTTATTTGCACTAAAACGCATTCACTTCTAACTCTTCTAAAGTGTGAAGCTTAAAGACGGCGAAAATCCCCCAGAAACCTCCTGTATATTAGTCCCACATTGCATCAGCCTGTTCCAATTGGTCACCAGGTTAAATCATGCTGCTTCAGCGCCTCTTGGGAATAAGGTAATTACGGAGGGGGACAGAGAAGCACTGTTCCCATCTCTCCAGAACCAATCACACCGCTCACATCCAGCCTTGTGTCCAGGAGAGCCCAAAAGCCACCCTGGTAGCTGGCACCACCCAACAGATCAACAGATAGACTAGGCTAAAGATCAGGGGATCGTAACCAATTAATTCATCATGTATAGATACCAGACCCAATATCGTGACCATGGCAGCCCCTTTGCCAAAAAGTCTCAAAGTCCAGGCCTGTAACAACCTAAACAAGGCCCACACTGGTTCAGAGTTGAGCCCTGCATCAGATCCAAGCACTCAGAGAGGCTCAGAGAAAGCTGAAGACTCATCTAGAAAAAGCATTTCCAACATGCTCAGGTGCAATGAATTACCAGTATTCCTTTTAGATTGCTTTTTTTTAACCTAAAAGAGTTTTTATAACCCTAACCAAGGCTTCCTAGTTTTTTTGGCATCTTTTCTCTTGTGTTCTGACTGCAGGACACAGCAGCCCAGTGAACGCCTCCTGCTCATTTGCACCCACCGAGCACAACCACTCTTGGGAGCTGCAACCCAAACCATCGCAGGAGAGTTGTTTGTGTTTTATTATCCCTTGAAACACAGCTCCGGTCACAAGGACTTGCTGCAATGCTCCCCTGGGACTTTCACAGGAGCTAGGGTTGAAAGCAAAAGCTGAAGTAAACAATTCACCTTTACCTCTGCGTTATAAACACACTCTGTCTAAAAAAAAAAAAGTCATTCACAGTAGCTGCTGCTTGCTCAGCTTTACAGCATGAGAAAAGCCACATCCTGCAAGGAACTGCAGGCGGCTCCGCTCTGCTCGACCCTGGCAAGCAGGGGGACAGCAAAACCAAGCCCAGCAAAGCCAGCACGGCCAGCTGTGCCCTTGGTGCTATGGCATCGCTGGGCTGGGGCCCGTCTCACACCACAGCCCTACTCACCTGAAAAACCAGCTCAGCCCAGCAACGGTTCACGACATCTGATCGCCAGGGGCGCGGGATCCACGGCGCTGCAGCAGGAAAAAACAAATGTCATTGCTTCCTTTCAAACTCACGAGGCCAAGAACAAAACAGTCGCGTCAGAGCACCCGAAAGGCGCCCGGTTGCCTCGGAGCTGCTGCCCAGAGGAGGGGCGTCCCGAGGAGCGCCTTCACCCTCCACCCCGCAGGCCCGGGTTTCTTCCCAAAGCTGGGTGGCTGAGC